TGAGTTGGCCACTGCATTATGTGGTACACCCCGAACTTGGATCCAGGGTGCCCTCATCAAACAGCATGAACTCCTTCCTAAATTTAGGTTGCTTAATCTCATCATTTGCGCCAATCTCATTGTCACCACCCATAGCTTAGAAATCAACCAAGACCAAGGTTATACCCTGTACTGCATTGATCACTAGTTGCCCATCAATATTGCCACTTTTATCCTCCGCAAAATGATTGCAGTTATTGGAAACAGACAATTAGGGTTGTCCTATGGTTGTCTAATCAACCGTCTCCTGTCCAAACTTGAGGTTCCTGTCGTCGAGAAAGATGAGTATGCCACTCCAATTAAGCCTTTACTAAGAAAACTGTGTCTCAAAGTCGGGCTCATGTTAAAGAGGAGTCGTCTCGGGCGGGTCCTTCTTCTACAAGTGATGAGGATCTTTTAGCAGAGGAGGCTGAGCTTTATGCAGCGGCGGCTGGTGCCGAGGAGCCGGATGTTTATCCCTGGACCATTCGTGGCCAGTTTCGTCGATTTGAGCAGGCCATGACTCAGCGGTTGGATCACAAGGATGCTCGACTTGATGCCTTCGATGGTCAGCTTGGCCATCTCAAGCAGTCAACTGCACAGACTACACTTCAGCTTGATCAGATTCTCTCTTTGCTTCAGTTACAGCAACCCCCTCCACCACCCCCGGCTCCTTGATTTTGTTACTCTTTGGACAATATTAATTTATCTCTTGGACAGTTTTTATTTCTTTCTTCTGTCTCTCATGTTTTTTATTACTGTTGGTTGGGTTATCTTGTCTCCCGAACAAAAAGGGGGAAGTAGCTATTTTTGCTTATTATTGTAGATATTGGTTTAGCTATTATTGGTTGGTTTAGATAATACTGAACACACACATAGATTTGGATATTTGGTATGATATATTGGAATAGATAGATAGATTTGGACATACATATTTGGGCTCGTTTGCTTATTTCTTTCTTTCTATCTGTTTATCTTATTTTGTTCTACAGTTTTGGTTTGTGTGGTATTTTTTCAACAGGTGGGTTGTTCACAAAGTGTTTCTAATCGAGTTGACATTTTTGGTTTGTGGTTTTTGTTGGTTTATAGTATTTTGTTTGCGATTGTTAGTGTGTCTAGTGTGTGTGGATGTTAGGAAAAATTGTTAGAAAGTTTTGTCTGGGAATTGACAAAGAGGGAGATTGTTAGGTTCCTACTTGTTGCCTATTCCACAAACAAGCTTGATTTAATTGAGTTATAAGTTTTTCCTATTTTTCGGTCTTCCTGCTCGAGTAGAAAAAGCTGCGCTCGAGTAGAGTTTTCACATTCTCAGTAGTTTGGCTTGTCTGCAAAAATACTGAGAGGTGTGATTTTACGCTCGAGCGTAAGTTTCAGCGCTCGAGCATAGACCCTGTTTTGCTTCCAGATCTTCTTTGAGGGTTCTATGGTTTTTTTCTAGGGCTATTTTGCTATAATTCTTTGATGTTTGATTGAGTATTATACTTATGGTTTGACAAGCATACATCAAAGAGTTGTTTGATTGTCCAACTTCAAGAGTGTTCTTCTTCAGTGGAATCTAGAGATTCAAGCGTGGAGTATTTGAAGGTCGAAGATGGGCGCAGTCGTTGATTCGACACGAATGTTGTGGATTCAACATCAAACTGACCAATTCCGAGACGAAGACGGTGGTGAAAGAGATACAGATTATTGAAGACAAATTGATTGCCTTTGGGTAATTTGTTTGGTAAATTTGTATTCTTTCTTTCTTTCATAGTGGATTGGTTAGTGGCGTTTCGCCCATGGTTTTTTAGTCACAATTGGAGGTGCTTCAATTGTGGTTTTTCCACATAAAAATCAGTTGCGTCGATTTATTGATTTGAAGTAACAATCTAAATCACTTTCGTATGTGCTAGATGATTTAAATTGTTTGTTTTTCTTGTTTGAGAATTGTTGCAATTAATCTTAACCTGAATCATGAATCACTTAGGTTTTTCAATATTCTCTTCCCTTTGGTCCAAATTGTAACAAATGTTATACTTTTGTGACGGAAAATGCGGCATAGGTCAAGTTTACCTTCATTTGTACGAAAACCTCCGCTATAGACCACCTCAACATGCAATTCTCCATCGTAGAACACTTCCATTTCTCGTTTGTCGTGACCTATCTATTTTGAAGTGGGAAAGAAAAATTTTCTAAGTGATCAAAGTAGGAAAGTTAATTTTTAAAATTCTAAAGTTACCCTCAGAAGTTAGCAATTGGACCAAAATAAGAAAAGACGAATAATATAGGGACTAAGGTGGGTACAATGACAAACAATATATATCTAAGAATGAAAATACAATTTATTATTTTTAAAAAGGAGTGACGGTAAAAAGGTAGTGACCGACTACAAAATAATAAGCAAGAACTGATACTAGTATGTGCTAGAGTCATAAATGTGTCACAGTGATTTATAGCTAACGTCATCATTTGGACATAACGACAACATGACACTAGTAGCGGCAACAATGCTATTATAGTGGTCTAAGTCGATGATGATGGTTGTGTTTCAGTGGATCAAAGGGCGTGATTAATTGAAGTTGGTAACAATAACATTGTTGTCTAATTCACTAATAATGACAAGGAAATAAAAAGTGAGAGTCAATGAGATAGTCATAGCAACAACATTTCAGGTAACATTAACATTGAAGATAATGTGAGAGAGAGAGAGAGAGAGAATCGTAGAGTGAGAAACGTAGTTGGAGTGTCATGCGTTTTTGTTAGTGATAATGTTTGAGGTAATGGCAACACAACAACATAATTACATAAAAATGGTGACCAATTAACCGATCAATTACTATTTGAATCTTGACTAAATTGATAGTAATGATTAGGCTTTTATTAATTGATTGGGAACTATGAATAAGTTGGGAATTAATTGGTTTAATATGGCTTATGAAAATTAATTGATTATTGAATCAATTATGTTTATTATATCAATGATCCCTACAATCAATTGTACAATCAATTGAGATATTTGAATCTCCCTTATATTCTAATGGATTGTACAATCAATTGTGATTGTTCAAAACCCTAGCTACTAATCGATTGTATAATCAATTGTGGTCTTTGAATCCAATCGATTTGGCAATCAATTATGATTTTCCATTCAATCTTATATGCTATACCAATTGATTACATAATTAATTGTGTTTAAAATATTAAAAGTTACGATGTTTTGTTAATGTTGTTATGATTTTTGGAACAAAATTACAATCAACGTGCTATGTTATGATTCATTGGTAAAAGTTATGATATTTTGCTAATGTCGTTATGATTGTGGGAAAAAAAATTACAATCAATGTGTTATGGTTATGATTCATTAGCAAAAGTTATGATTTGTTATGGTGAATCATAATAAAAATTGTTACGATTCAAATATTACGATAATTTGTTAGAAATAACTACATTTGTTATGAGTCGTTGTCATATTATTATGATTAATAATGTCTTTGTTATGACACCGCAGTATATATTATGACATTGTTATAATTCATTGTAGTAATTGTTATGATGTTTAAAAAAAATTATGAGTCTTTCATGTAACTTGTTAAATGACCTGTTTAGTAGGTTACTATTTATAACGTGGCACAATATAAACCACACAATAGGTGCATATCATATATCTTTTTAGAATGTGCACATTGTAAATTTTTCCATAAATTAATCACAACATAAAAATCTCATATTCTTCTATTTTTTCAGTTAAAGAAAACATAAATTTAAACATATTCTTCTATTTTTTTAGTTAAAGAAAATATAAATAAACTGAAATTTAAAGTACATCAAACAAGAGTATTCCACCCATGACGGTCATAAATACATTTACTGAATTGATTTGGCTATTGTTGGTACACCATGATGAGATGTTGCACCAAACATACACCAGATTCAGTTTCAGTTCTTGTCATTCCAGAGGGAGCCACGTGCCCCAGTTCAACTTCTATGCAGTCTCAAAAACTAGTTCGTTCCGTTGAGTGTAAGTGTCAAATAATTTATGTTGTTGCGCTACGCTAATGTGATGTTGAGCTCTGCAAATCCCTGACAAGTTAATACTTGTTTGATGAATGAAATCCAAGTAAACCACTAAGCTTCCGTTTGAGAAGTGCGTTGACTTTTTAGTTTTTTAGCTATTTTAGTCTGGGTTAAAAAGTTTAGTTTGGGAAGGACTTTTTGACTTTTTAACTTTTTTAACTTTTTTTATGAGAGAAGAGTGCAACGATTGTGAGTTGGATGTGATGTTTTGTTTGTTATGGCTAAAATAGCCTATTTTGTTTTTTGTGACTAAAATAGCCAAAAAAGCCCAACCAACTTCTTCCCAAACGGTGCCTAACACTTGTTTGATGGATGAAATCACAGTAAACACTAGGACTCCGTTTATTTGGGATTATAGGAAGGAGATTGAAATTACTAATCCCCTGATGTTACTAATGGGATGTTTATTTTGAGAGAGAGAAAGGAAACTATTAATCTCTTGATATTAATAGTCTCCTTGGACGAAAGATTGGTAAAGAGGAGATAAAGAATTAGAAAAATAATAAAGGGATTAAAAATATATATATATATATATATTTTTTATATATTAAGATTTTTTTTAAAATATTAATGTTTAATTTTTTATATTTTTTTATTTATTTTATTATTTTATAAAAAAATAATTTAACAATTCCTCACTATTAATCTCCTCATTAACAATTCCCTCACTATAAATCACCTCCATTCTATCTCTGAAAACAAATAGAGCTAGTAGTTCAATAGTTGATTTTTTAATGAAAGCAATTCTTTCAACATTGATAGTCCAAATGCCAAGCAACAAGTTACATCAATCACTCTACAAGTTACATCAATCACTCTATGCCAAGTCATAAAACTGAAATACAAAATCACTGGTCCAAACAGGAACAAATGTCATAAACTGGCAATTCAGACATGGCTTGTGTTAGAGCTCGCCATGGAAGGATAAGTACATAAAAGCATATATTGTCATCAACTATTATTAATCTTTGAATATGCGTCTACAGAAAATGCAAAAATCAAACAGCGAGAGCAACAATCTCTAATTCACAACCCTTAATCTTCAAACATCAATACTGCAAGAGAAATTTCCACTCCAATTACTAGCAGATCAAAAAATAGCATGCATTTGAATTTCTTAAAAATAAACTTAAACAAGGCATATGCCACATAAAACTCGACTATTAAACTTCAAAATTGTAATTTAGAAAACTCTGACTAACTAACTTCCCCAAAAAATCTTGTTCCCATGTTGGAGGACATCAAAGAAAAAGGTTCCCAGACTAAACAATTTTAAGAATCTGCAATTGTGACCTCAACCTCAACCCCAGGTTCAATAGTGATGGAGGTGATTTGCTTAACCACATCTGGGGAGCTGAAGAGATCAATCACTCGCTTGTGGACACGGAGCTCAAATCTGTCCCAGGTGTTGGTTCCTGTCAACACAAATATTAAGGGTTAACGAGTCTCTTCCAGTCAATGCCACACTGCAAGTTTCAATATCATCTAAATGCTGGTCCGAGTATGCTCAACTATAGTAACAACTCTACAAAAATAGTACTAAAATACAAAGTTTAACAAGACACCTACTAAATAAAGATTATTTCATGTTTTAAAAGGCTTCCGGTTCCTAAAGCTTCCAAAAGATAAATTCCGAGAACATTCAAGTCTAACGACAACGTGGTAAAATTAGAGTTTTCTAACCAAACTCATGTCATTTTAAAACAAAATTTTCAAACCCAAACAATTTTGTACCTGTTTCTCAAATTCATGTTGCTTTGTGAAATAGTTTTCAATTAACTTATTGTAATTTTTTTTTGAAACAGTGCTTACAAAAAAACTAAATTTGAGAAGTTCGTTCAAAACAACTCGCATATAAGCAATAAGTTTTGTAATTCCTTGGGTTAGGTAAACAAATGCATACAACCACAAGATGCAAGAAATATTGCAACCAGTAATGTAAATCCAATCAAAACATTCATTCACAGAACAATCAACTTCTACCAAAGGCTAATGGAGTCTATTTGGATGCTGAAAAGATGAATTAAAAAGAGAATAAAATAATACATACCTTAGTTCAAAAAAATAAATAAATAATACATACCTTAAGCATAAGAAAAAAGCATTACCAAAAAATTGAAAAAAATTGTGTATATCCATGGTAAGCGATATACGAAAGAAAAACTATATAACATAGTCTCAAAAGCTTCAAAACACAAAAGACAAGCCAGTCACATATGCACCATCTTACTAAAAAGGGACAAAAGAAGCCCGAGGACACGACATGATTACATGTCTCAAATGCACATTGTTATTCCAAAAAAAACGTCATGTGAATTGGGCAAAGGATTAAAAAAACTTATCTTCAAGGCATTTTCCTGTTAATCAAGCACTATAATAACCTCAAGAAATAGATTAAGATATTTCTAAAATCAGTACCTTCACCACACGGGGCCTTCCTGGTAGTGATATGAAGAACCTTGGTGGGCATCCTAACAGGTCCCTTCACCCTCAACCTCTTATCCTTGGCACCACGAACCAAATCCGCACACACTATCAGTCAAAAACAAACAAACAAACACAAAGAACAGGATATCAACACCTCATGGAAAATTTTCACAAGCAACCTTCACTAACAGAACTACCATTAAAAAAATCACCAAAATTCTGAAATTCAGATAAGTTTCAGCATCTAGAAACACATAAATGAGATTAAATTCTGCAAGGACGCACTGCAAAACACCAATTTTACAGTTAGCCAATTAAAAATTGCCACATAAGCAAAAATTAGTAGACTCCACAACAATTTTCCAGTTAATAGACTCCACAACAATTTTTCCCTCTGGTTTACCCTTTCCACCACCTCTTACCTAAACCAACCCGCTCATCCCCCACCACAACCTCAAATCATTTTCCCTAAAACCCCAACCCACCAAATTCTTTGGCCAATCAAATGGAAGAATCCATTGTAGTTAATCACCATATCTTCCAATTGAACCCATAGTCATACTCACAGTGCACGTATTTTGACAAAAACACTTTGTATGATGGTGTTTGAATTTGTGACAAGTTTCAGCAAAAGTGATTTTTTTTTTGGCAGTGCTGGTGGTTTTTATCAAAAAAGGAATCCAATTCAAAGAACATCAAATGGGAATTTGTGTTGGGTTTTTGGTGAATGATTTGGTGTTTTGGGACAATGTTTTCTTGAATCTTATTTCTTATGTTTAATTCAATAGGAATCAACTATCAAGTTTTTGCATGAATGATGGATGGTGGTGTTTGCAATTGTGAGTAGTAGGGGCAATGACAGGTGTGGGATGGGAGAAAAGTTGAAAATATAGATCAGGGAAGGGGAAAATGTTATTGTGTGGCCCAATGTTTCTGAAAATGTGACATGTTTAGATTGGCTATCCATAGAACTCCACTACTACGGTACAGACAGGTATGATTCATTCTCCATGTAAATACACATAAATGGCACATACAAGGGCAACGGCAAGTAGAAGTTAGTGACTTCAAACGAACCCCCTAAACTTTGAAGATCAATATTAAATTTGTAATATTTTAAAAGTTTCAATGGAGTGATAGCTCTAACTGAACCCCCTGTTTTTTTCTCCCTGAACCCTCTTCTCTGTTTGGAACTTTGGATTTGATGACTCCAAAGTGCCGTCCTGTGTTTTCTGTATGGTTTTTTTTTTTCTTCAATAATTCTAAAATATTGTGCTTTCTATTATATTTTAATATTGGAACTAGAATATGTTACAATTAGTTTCCATCTCATTGGTTGAATTTAGTGCCAAGGTATAACTTGTGAGCCTAATATCAAAGTGTTTTATTTGATTTACTAAAATGAGATGGAATATAATCAAATAATTTATTTGCAATGTATTTTTCATTATGCTTTTAGTCAATCAAATATGAAAAATAATATTTTGATAGAATGATCATTCCATTTCACTATATTCCGAGTAACCAAACACTACCTTATTGTTGGATTAGTGTCATCTAGCTTAGGTGCAAGCTTAAAAAGATTTTTATTTATAAAAAATGTTCATAAATTGATATGTGTAATGTACGAATGGGATTCATTTTTTATTCACACTTCATCAATTAAAATTTTAATGCATTTTTAATTATTATTTATTGAATACATAATATTTCTGCTAGAATGCATTATTTAACAACTTTGATCAAAGCTTGAAAATTGAACCCACTGTAATTTTTTTTTCTGGCGTCGCCACTGGGAAGTCAAATCACTGGACATGTTTGATCATTTTTGGAAAAGAATAATCAATTCAGAAACTAGAATCAACATGAATGCAGCAGAGCAAGCTATATTCAGCTGCTCATGTCTAATTAACTAACTGAAGCAAAAACACAACACGAATCAATCATTATAAAAGCTAATCACTAATTTAAAAATGCCTGAGAAAATATATAGGTTTGATAGAAATCAAAACCTTTCTCGAGGTTCTTGACGTTCTTGGAGGAAAAGAGTGATCCTGATCTTGTGAATCTGCTCCTGAGACTCCTCCAACCCTGGCTTCGTCGGCTTCATCGCTGCGTACGCCATTGTTCCTCTGTTTTCTGCACCACATAACGATCGAACAACAACAACGATCCAAATGGTTCAATAAAAGCCAAAAAAACTAAAAAAATTCGATGCATAACCACAAGATCGACGCCTCGGTCACAGAGAGAGAGAGAGAGAGAGAGAGACCTGAAGATGTGAGAGGAGAGGTGCAAGGAGATGGGTATTGAGAGCCGCTTGAATCTCTGCAGAAGCAATAGGAGCTCTGATAGGTTGTGTGTGGAGGTTATATATATATGCAATTTAGGTAGGTTGTGTGGGGAGTTTATATATACGTGCAATTTAGGGTTAGGGTTTTTTCATTTCTTTTCTTTTTGGTTAAATTGCACTCACACCCCTCAAGTTTGTATTTAATACATATCACTTATTAACATTTAGGACCTCTGTCATTGTAATTATTTAGACGAAATTAATGTTGGTATCAAAAAGCTATTGAATTCATACACCCTCTATTTTTTTGCTTTGTTTTACCTCTTTTATTTTATTTTATTTTTTTCTTTCACTTGCTCTACTTTTTTTTAAATGTAATTTCTTCTGTTTTTTTATCAAAAGTGGTTGACTTTTATATAAGTAGGGGCTGTGAAATAAGACTATTAACTATAAGGGTAAAAATGTAATTTTTATAACATCAGGAGTGAGTTGTTATCAGACCAAACCTCAGGGGTTGTCAGTGCAATTTACCCCCTTTTTTATTTATTTTTTTTAAGGATATGTGAAACAAAGTATGAGATCATAATAGGTTGGGTTGACTGACAAATAAGTAATTGGGTCGTGCTTGGAGCACAACCCATTATACTGATTGGGTTGTAGCCTCATGTAAATGAACCATTTGACTGGATTTTTTTTTTTTTTTGAAATGAAAAAAAAAAATCCTAAAATTTGTTTTTTTGATTATAAGAAAACCGAAGCCAAGACTAAACACGAAGAGGTTCATGGAGACATGATCCTTGTTTATCCTCCTCAAGCAAACTAGATAACACCAAAGAGGTTACATCAAGAAATTCCCACTAAGTCAACTGGTGAAAAGCATTCTTAGCAAGAAAATCTACGCTTGTTCGCTTTACGCCAGATGAGACAAAGTTTACAAAGCCAATCACGGGCAACCAATCACGAATGGCCTGACAAAGATTAAAATGTAGATTCATTGCACTAGCTGAATTGATCATATGAATAGCATCCACACAATCAAACTCAACCAAGATTTTACGAAAGCCTATGCTCCATCCTAATTGCAACCCCAACCAAATAGTCCATAATTCCACAACGAGAATAGGAGCATTGCCTACTTGATGCCAAAAACTAGCAGTCCACTTCTCATTCTCCGATCGCACAATGCCCCTGGCAGGCTGGCAAACAAAACCTTTCGAAGTTAGAACAGAATCATCAACATTGATCTTGATCCAACCAGAAGGAGGCAGCCATAGGGAATGAACAGGACCTTGGTTACTCGAATGAGGCAGATTGAGTTGAGCTTGTTGTACTTCAAAGACTCTTCCTTGAATGTAGGCAACTGGAAGTTGAGGCATGGAAAATCAGGAGAATGAATTTTTTTGGTGTGCCAAAACCAGATGGAAGAAAGGGATGCCATAAACAGTAAAGACCAGCTATATTGGTTGGAATGAAACCAAGCATTATGGTAAAGGTTGCTATCCATCCACTTAACAAGTGACAGTGAGAGAAGTGTAGCCAACACAAGGGGAGAACTAGCTCTTCCCAAACCTGTCTTGGAAGTTGACAATCTCTAAGCGCATGAAGCTGGTTTCACTTTGGTGGCCACACAAATGGCAGCTAGAGGCATTACTTAAGTTCCTTTGAAGTTTCATTGCATAGCAAGGATGCAACCTAAAATTTGATCCTTCTAACAAAATAAATTTTTAATTTTTAATTTAATTAATTTAACTTTTAATATTTTGATTTGTTTTCAATTTAAACAGTCTGTCTATTTTCGTTAAGTAAAATCAATTTAAAAAAAAAGATTTTATTCATTAAACTCAATATATATATATATATATATTAGACATTTCATGAACATCTACATTGAGTTTAATGATTAAAATAATATATTTTTGTTGATTTACCCAACAAAAATAAAGAGATGATTTAGATTGAAAATAAATCAAAATATTAGAGTTTAAATTGGAAAAATTAAAAACTCACAATTTAAATTGTTATAAGGGTCAAACCTTTTTGTTGTTGTAATTTTCCCTTTTTATTAATAATTTATTTTTATTTTTTTTTGTAAATCAGTTTTGTAAAGTTGTGTCAAAATATTTTAGTATAGTTTTTGCATATAGTTGAAGAGATAAAATGATTTATAAGTTAATTATAAGAAGGTTAGAAGAATGGGATTTTATTGTCCAATAAGTCCTATGATAATTAATGGCATTTTTCATCAAATATTATTAAAAAAACATCACTAATTATTGATTTTCAGTGACAGTTTTAAAAAATCGTCATAAAAAATTCGTTAATTTTTAACTTTCAGCGATAGTTTGCAAAATTCATCAAAGAAAAATATTACTAATTTTAAGTTTTAGAGACAATTTATAAAAATCGTGATAAAAAAAAGTCATTAATTGTCAATTTTTAGTGACATTTGCAAATGATTGTCACAAAAAAATATTTTAGCGATGGTTTTACTAAGACTTATTTTCAATAGAACTTGATGGGAATTAAACCCAATTATTAAAACCTATTGGTAGTTTAGGGGGTGTTTGTTTTGGAAGGATTGGGCATAGGATTAGACTATGCTGTTTGTTTCAAAAGTTTTGTTCCGGACTATTAGTCCCATATTTGTGGGACTGTGGTATCCCATGGGGGGTAGGATAGAAACCATAGGATAACTCATCCTATAGGATTAGCTAATAAAATTACGATTTTTCTCTCTAGTATTTAATTATGTATTATATTTAATAAAATTTAATAAAATTTAAATGTCTCAATTTAAAAATAAAATAATTTAATTTAATTTTAATTTTAATTTTATTTATTTAATTTTTTAAAATAATTTTTTATAAATATTTTATTGATGTTTTATTTTAAAATTTTGTTTATATTTTATTTAATTTCATTATTTAAATTTTAATAGATGTTTTATTTTATTTCATTATTTAATTATTATTATTATTTAAAATTTAAATTAAAAAATAACATATATTTTTATTGATATTTAATTGTGCAAAAAATAAAATAAAATAATTTTTTATTTAATCTAGCTAAAAATAATTAAAATATTAAAGCTATGTTTAATATTTCTATTACCTAGTAAATAATTGAAAATGATAAAATAGTCATTTGAGCATTTATCCTTCTCTATAATATCCCAAAAAAATATTGAATTTACTAAAAATAGTTCAATCCAGACATCTAATCCCATGACTAAACAAAAATATGATACAAATCCAGTCCAACCAAATAGTCTGGGAACAATGTATCCCAAGACTAATAGTCTGATGGATTACAATCCCTCTTATCCAGTCCGTCCAAACAAACGCACCCTTAGAAAAATGATACTTTTAATTTTTAAGTCAACCTAGACCTCGACAATTATTCAAGTGGTTATGGAAATAAAACTTATGTATCAAGATAGTAAAGCATGGTGTGGGATGCTCTAAATAAGTGCACTTTTTAAATTTTTATGAAATATGGGTTGGATTTGAAATGATGTAATAAATAAGTGATGTGACTTAAATAAAATGATATGACTTAAATAGGATAGTGACTTAGGTACGAGGGATAATAAGGTTTCATGTTCAAATATATAAAGAGACAGCATACATTGTAATCTAATTACGATTATGAGGGGAAAAAAAAAGGCAGTGACTTTGGTCCAGTCCAAGATCGGATTGGATTATGTTGTTGGGTTCGTGAGGGCCTACCACAGATCCCGTTTTGATAATCCGAACCGTTCAATGTGTAGAACTCGTCAACTACTATATGCCTGCAAAAAATCACGTTGATCGGATATCGATAGCTATGTAAACAAAACAGCTTTTTATCAACCGTTAATTTTTTTACTGTCTATTTTTTTTAATACAAAATTGATTTGATCACATAACTATTGATATCCAATCAACGTGATTTTTTACAGGCATATAGTACTCGATGAGTTCTACACACTAACGGTTCAAATTATCAAAACAGGTCTAAAAAATAGACCCTATAGACTGGACTGGATAAATCTTGATCTCAACTTGAGACAAGCTGGACCCAAAAAAAAATTATGTCTAGATTATCAGCTTTTAATGCGTTCCAATAATTCAGATCGGCAGCTTGAAATTGATTAATGTGTTGAGAACAGATTGGTTATGTCCAGTCCATTCATTGACCAATCATTACTTAGGTCTCGTTTGTTAAGTAGTTTTTTTAGTTATAAAGTCACTAAAAAAATTAAAAAGTCAATAATTCATACCAAAAAGTTAAAGATTCTCTTTTTTTTTACTTTTTGTATTTCTTTTCGTAAAAAGTCAAAAAATCATTTCAAATATACTAATTTTTTTTAACTCATATTTTAACTAAATAATTAAAAAATTACTAAATTAATCTATTCCCAAACGAGGCCTTAATATGTCAACTAATTTGAAATCGTCACAAACCTTATCAATTTGAGCATGGATCAATTCTCATTTTATGTCCATGTAAAGCATTTTTATATTAATCACAAAATATGTCTCGTATTTTTCTTTCTTTCTTTTTTTTCTTTTTCTTTTTTTTTTATCAAAGAAAACATAGATTAAATTTGAAATTGAGTACACCTCAACCGTTAGATCAACACACTCTTGATAAATATGTTTACAAAAATATTTAAGATCATTAAAAGTAGAGCTCTAATAAGAGCTCCACTTAGAGCATCTCCAATAGAGCTGCTATATCAGTTGCCAAAGCTAAAAAATGACAGAAATGGCAAAAATCAATCTCCAACGGTCTGCTATTTCACTTGCCAAAGATGGCAGATGCCATATGTGTTCTCAAATATGGCAAGTGAAATAGCAGATGCCAACCTTGCCAGATCAGCAAAAATCAACAGAAATTGGCACCAAATTCAGTTGAGAAAATAACAGAATTAATCCAGTAGGGAAGTTATTTTCCAAAATCAAACCCAATTTTTACAATCAAGCAAATTTCACATGAAGACAGATCGTGTATATATATATATATATGATCAAACCCATGAAGACAACTTGTATATATATATATGATCAAAATCAAACCCAAAATATATATATATATATATATATGATCAAACCCATGAACCTCTGTTGACCGTATATATATATATATATGATCAAGATCAAAATCAAACAAAAACATATAATATATATATTATATATATGATCAACCCATAAAGCCATAGCAGACCGTATATATATAAAAAAA